GCATTTATTTTGATTTGCTGCAGTGGAAAAGCCCAGTAGAGATTACTTTTCTTAGTTGATCAAGGCCAGTATCACCAGTAAGAAGACATATTGACATTATAGATTTTGTGATATGATGCACTGAGAACACCACTGAATCATTTTTGTGGTGCCTCTGACAAGGATATATGACCTTAGTTTAATCATGAGAACATACAAGGCAGTCCTGAATAACTGATCAATATTCTCCAGGGTGTCAGAGTCATAAAAGACAGGGAAAGGCTATGAAACAATTGCAGGACACTAGGGAGAAATATACAAAGGCCATAAGGGATCCTGGAACCAAAAAGGACATTAGTGGAAACACTAGTAAGATTTGAAAAGGATCTTTATAGTTTGGTGAATGGTATTGTTAATTTCCCAGTCCTGATAATCGTCTATGGCTATGTAAGATATTAACATTTGGAAAGGCTATGTTAGCAATATTTGGAAACTCTGTACTATTTTTGCAACTTTTGTGTAAGGTAAAGGTAGTTCAAATTAAAAAATTAAAAGGAATCCAGTCTTTTATTCTTGCTGGGCTTAGCTCCAATCTGTAGTTTGAATTCGGGTCACTCCTTGGGCCTCTCATCCTTTTTGGACTGGAATACTAGTGGAGCATGGTCTTTTCATGATGATGGCACATTTGCTAACATCCCACAGGCCAAGGCACATCACAAGCAAGTCCAAAACCAACAGCTATAAAAGTCTCCTCTACCACTTTAATCTCTGACTGTATAAGAGGGGCTGCATGGGAAAGGGGGTGAATATACAAAGGGGGAAAGGGAAGAAAGTTTGTGACAATAATGCAATATACCACAGACTCGCCCCCTACTCACCATGGGGAAAGCAGGAGTGTTACCTGGGTCTTAGTCTGTGATTGAAATCAGTGACAGAGTCCCAATGGGAGTCACAGCTCAAGTGTGAAGTGGCCTTACTTAGTCTGGACAAAGCTTCTACTTATAGACAGCTTCCCCAGGGAGCCAGTGGGGGGAAAAGATACTGTAGACCTCTTTGCCTTTCTTTTTCTTTTTTCTTTTAAAAAAATATATTTTATTGATTTTTTACAGAGAGGAAGAGAGAGGGATAGAGAGTTAGAAACATTGATGAGAGAGAATCATCGACCAGCTATCTCTTGCACACCCCCTACTGGGGATGTGCCCGCAACCAAGGAACATGCCCTTGATTGGAATCAAACTCGGGACCCTTCAGTCTGAAGGCTGACGCTCTATCCATTGAGCCAAACCGGTTTCGGTGACCTCTTTGCCTTTCTAGATCCCCATCTTATTTTGTTCCTGGGCCCTTGCCTTCTGCCTCCCACAGTCTCAATCCCTATCTCTTTACTTGCATGTTATCTAGTGATTTTTGCCTTTGCTGTGCTCTTCCCCAGTACTGCGATCCCTTCACAGAGGCCCTAGAAGGATGCAGGTCAGACCTCACTCTTCTCTTTAACTTGGCCTTTTTCCCAGTGGGTTGGAAACATTTGAAAATACTGTATTTTCTGCTGCCTCTGCCACTGCTGTTGCCATGGTTGGTTGCGTGTATTTGAAATAAGCGTAACCAGTATTTTAAGTTAATGCTATTGTGCTTGCTCTTGCCCCCTGTGGTGGCTTATGTGAAGGGAGTAATTTGGGAATTTCCCCAAATTAAATAAATTGATTCACATAAGAAAGATCCTAGTCTCTTCCTTGGTCAGGTTAGCCTGGTATAACCTGTTACGTTTTTTTTAAACTTATAAAGTCATGTACTTTTTTTCATTTTCCATTTCTAATTTTGATCAAAAGTCTGAAAATTTAAGATGCTGCTATTGTTACTAGTAGCAGTAGTATTAGTACTATTACTACTAAAAACAACTATTAATATGATTACTAATTATTATGAATCTACTTGCCATAGTGAAAATTCTTGGCCTTTCCACATACTTCTAGATCAGTTAGGCTTTTCTCTCAAATGTAATTTTTCACTCAACAAATAATTATTGAGTGTTTACTATATGCTAGGACCTGTGATAGGTTTTGGGGATAAAATGGTGAGTAACTAGGTACATTAAAAAAACACACACAATACCTAATATATAACGATTAAATGAGATAAAGCGCTTTTTTTTTTTTTTTTTTTTTTTTAAGGGTCATGGTGCTGTGAAAGCCTTTAAGGCAGGGGTAGGGAACTTTTTTTTTTTTTTTTTTTTTTTTTTTTTGCCAAGGTTCATTTGGATATTTATAATATTACTTAATATAATTCACTTAATATAAATGTATGTTACTATGAAAAAAGCTCCTAGACTTATTGAATCTTGAGTCCTGCCTGCGGTTACCTTGGCAGGGCCACACAAAATGATTTCTCAGGCCTTATGTGGCTTGGGACCAGACATTCTCCACCCCTGCTTTAGGGGGCGGCTGGATCTGGTCTGGGAAATAGAAGATGCACTCAGAGGGAGTGACTCTTAGCTGGGATTGAAAGGGGAAGGAGTTGGAAGCTAGGGTTGGAAAGAGCATTCTGGTCAAAGGGAGCAGGAGTGGAATGGCCCCATGGTAGGAAGTAGCATGGTTCTTTCATGAATGGAAAATGGCCAGTGTATCCTAGAGAAGCAATCACTAACCTTTCGGACCTCATGGATCACCAGTGGTCCACAGACCACCAGTTGGCGACTGCTATCCTAGAGCATGGGGAGTGAGTTGTGGACAATCTTAAAGGGGCAGGCAAGGACTAGATACTAAAGAGCCTCATTGATCAACATGAGGACTTCTATCTTTATTCTAAGAATAGTAGGAGACCATTAAAAAGTTTGAAGCAGGAAATAACATAGTCAGATTTGTATTTTGGAAAAAAAATCATTGTAAAGAACACGTGGATAGGGAGGTAGGAGTAGGTAGAGTAGGTCAGTTAGGAGGCTTCAGCACTGTCTACAAGAGAGGTGGTGATGGTTTGAACAAGAGCAGTGATGGGGAAGACAGAGAGAAGGGTATTAATTACCAGGTTTTGGAGATAGATTGAGTATGAAGTAGTGGTTGGCAAAGTAGAGAAATATAGATGACTTGCTCTCAATTTTTATCTCATTTAATCCCCAACTTATCCATATTTAGGAAGCCTTCCCAGAGAAAGATTTCCTCACTCTATCTGAAATATATATATATATATATATATATATATATATATATATTAAAAAAACACACAATACCTAATATATAACGATTGAATGAGATAAAGCGCTTTTTTTTTTTAAGGGTCATGGTGCTGTGAAAGCCTTTAAGGCAGGGGTGGGGAACTTTTTAAATATATATATATATATTTCAGATAGAAGAAGGGAGATGGTGAGAGAGATAGAAACATCAGTGCATGTGCCCTGATCAGAATTATACTGGTGACCACCTGGTGCCTGGGACAATGCTCAACCCATTGTGCAACACTGGCCAGGCTGAACATATTTTTTTTTTATCCTTGAAACATTTGGGATAGGTTTGAGGTTAGAAGAGGATCATTATATACATACATTCAGGTACTTACGTTCCCATTTATTTTTAGCCAAAGTTATAGAAACTTCCTGCTGATGTGGGATGGCAGGAACAGCATGTCTTGGAATGACGTTTCCTTGGCTCCCTGGTTCTGTAATGGAAGCACAGTGGTTGGTGGAACCTGAAGTTCACTCTAGTCCTGCTAGAATTGAGAAAACCTGAATTCATATACATTGTTACCCTTTTATATTCCGGTTTACTGGATCATTTTGAGAGAATTTGTGCTATGTATTTCCCTTTAAGAAATGTTCACAGATTGTTTCTCTTGCCACCCCTCCCCCCTCTGATTCTTGAATGAAGCTCAGCACCATCAGGGTGATGCTATCCTCTGCCAGGAAAAAGCAGAGTCAAAGATCAGGTGTGTTAGAGCAGAATCTCTGCTTCTAGACTTGCAATCACCTAAAGAGCTTCCCCCCCTGAAAATATCTATTTAATATTCCTCTTTTGTTCCTAGAATCTATCTACCACAATGGTTGGGTATATAGTAGTTGCTTGATAAATATCACTTGCTTGAATAAATAAGTGTAACATTCCATTTGTAGTATGTGATCTTGCAAGTTGCTTTATAACTATTCTTGGTAATTTTGTACAGTGTGTATGAATAGCCCATTCATTTACAACATTTATCTGCCCAGCTAGTAGATCAGCTCTTCTGATATAAATGGGTATAGGTTTTTAATTTTTCTTGGTTCCAATCCCTGTCTCCTTGGCTTGTCATGTCCTCCTGCCTTTCAGTCTGTTGCTTCTTCCTTCTTATAAACATTGTCACAAATTTTATATGACAAACTCTGGCCTAGAGGCTGGGGAAATTAAAAAAAGAGGAGATATAGTCCCTTTGCTCATACAGGAGACAGCCTCATAGAGGGAGCCTGATTAAATTGATGAGGTGGTGAGGTATAAGTTTGCTGGCAAGCTGTCTGGGGTTCTGTCATAGGAGGGTCAGAAAGGATGTAGTGGAGGAGGCAGTAATGTAGCCATGTCCTGAAGGGTAAGTAAGTATTCACTATTCATTTATTAGTACAAAGCAAAAGGCTTATTATAGCTCAACTTAAAGAAAACGGAATTTCTTAAATATGCAGGTTCTAACTGGGGGACATTAGTTTCTGGATGAAAATATAGATACCTTTGCCCACATTGCTTCCTCTCTTTATTGGATGTGAATTAGCAAAAGGAGAATTGAGATTGGGGTGTGTGTGTGTGTGTGTGTGTGTGTGTGTGTGTGAGAGAGGGGGGGGGGAGGGGAGGGGAGGTAAAGAGAGGGGAGAAGAGGGGAGAGGAAAGGAGGAAGAGAGGAAAGGAGGAAGAGAGGGGAGGGGAGGAGAAGGAGATATGGATAGATCCAGGTAGCTGAATACTACAGAGTCTGTTCTTTATGAACTAATAACTTCATGAACTTGTTAGCAAGCCATTCAATTGGTGTCCCTCTGAGGACTGTATATCTCATGAGCCTTCTCTCTTCTTGGCTTTTAGGCCAGGCTGTCCCTGCAGGATCCCATGTGCGGCTGAATCTCCAGACTGGGGCAAGAGAAGTGAAACTCCAAGATGAAGACAAGTTTCAAAATACCTTGAAAGGGTCAAAAAAGGGCAAAAGGTACAACAGCATTCCTAGGGATCATGAGACTAACAATACTGATTTTGTAATACTGAAAGTAATGACAATACAATGCTGCTTATAGTAATGAATGCAATGCAAATTCATGTGACTTTTAAATATATCTGAAATATTTAATAGCCTAGAATTTGTGATAAACCTCTTAGGTTTTATGGAAGTTTACTTCTTTGGGTCTTTGGAAAGAAATATTTCAATAGTTTGCAAAGCAAATTGAAAAAAGGCAGTAAGGGGAATGCTTAACCAGTTTTAAAAATGAAGCTATTGAAGGAAGAGAAGATGGTAGCCAGCAGGATGGCAGTGAGGAAGAGAGTGTGAGAGAGTGAGGGAGTGAAAGGGGAGTGTGTGGACGTGTGTGGACGTGTGGTGTGTGTGTGTGTGAAGGACGGTTAGATCCTGCAAGACTTTTGGGGGCTCTCTTGGACGGGAAGCTAATTCTGTGGGCATTCCCAGGTGGCTAGCACTGCCACAGAAACTATAGTATTTTGAAGGGCAGAGATGCTGTGACTTAGTAGCCCAGCCTCACCACCACCCATACCAGTATTGGGTAGCAATACTTGGCTTTGGATGAAAACAGAGACCCTACAGCCAATTTGGACAAAGACCTGCTACCACAACTACAGACTATTGGGCACTGACTCCACCCATACCAGTCTCAGGCTACTGTGAGTCCTGGAGTGTTCCCTTCTCGCCTATCCCTGGAAGCACAGGTCCCATTATCCTGAGCCAGTCCCCTTATTGTCGGCGTGCACGGACCCTGCCTGGACTATGACAGCTTCGTCTCTTGGGCACCCCTGACTGTCAGTGTATGTGACGCTTCCGCTAAGCCCACCCCTGCAGCTCAGGCCCCGCACAACGGCACCTGGACCCTTCAACAATAGCAAAAAATGGGGAGACAAGAAAGAAACCCCCAAAGGAAAGGAGGAATGGCAAAAAAATAACAACAACAACAACAAAAAGAACTAAAAGAAATGGATTCATGCAATATGTCTAAAAAATAATTCAGAGTAATGGTCATGCAGTTCATAAATTGGATGGACAAGAAAATCAACAACCTATGTATGAACCAAGAAGAGATCAAAAGTGATATAGCTACAATAAAGAACATCATAAAAGGCTTCAACAGTAGAACGAGAAGTGGAGGATTGCATTAGTGATCTAGAAGATAGGGCAGAGAAACAAACCCAATCTGAACAGCATTGGAGAAAAAAATTAGAAAGCAAGAGGAGAGCCTAAGGGAGCTTGAGGATAACATGAAATGAAGTAACAGGCTTACAATAGAGGTGGCAGAAGGACAAGAAGAGCAGTAAGGATTAGAGAATCTATTTGAAGAAATAATGACAGAAAACTTTCTTGATATGGAGAAGAAAAACCGTCACCCAAGCGTAGAGAGTCCCAAACAAGATGAACTCCTAAAGACCCACCCCAGGACATGTCGTATTTATAGTGGCAAACGTTAATGACAAAGAGAATTTTGAAGGTTGCAAAAGAGAGTTACCTACAAAGGATCCCCCATTTGATTATCAAATGATTTCCCAACAGAAACACATCAGGCCAGAAGGGAATGGAATGAATTATACAAAGTAATGCAAAGCAAGGGACTGAACCCAAGAATATCTATCCAGCAAGGCTATCATTCAAAATTGAAGGGGCAATCAGGAGTTTCAAAGACAAAAAATGGCTAAGGGAGTTATCACTACCAAGCCAGCAATGCAAGAAATGCTAAAGGGACTACTATACAAAGAAGAAAAAAAGGGGGAAGAAGGAATACAGTCACTAAAAATATAAATGGCTGCAAAAGTACCTCTCAATAATAACTTAAAATATAAATGGACTAAATGCTCCCATCAAAAGACATTGAGTGGTTGAATGGATAAGAAAACATGACGTATATATATGCTGTCTATAAGAAACCCATCTCAGAATAAAAGACTCTCATAGATTGAAAGGGAAGGGATGGGAAAAATATATTTCAGGCAAATGGAAATGAAAAAAATAAAAGCTGAGGTAGCAATACTTATATCTGACTAAATGGACCTCAAGGTGAAGGCCATAATGAGATAAGGAAGGCCACTTCATAATACTAAAGGGATTGATATAATAAGAGGATATAACTCTGGTAAACATATATATACCCAATGCAGGAGTACAGAAATACATGAAAAAAACTTCTGGAAGATATCAAGGGAGAGATTGATAGCAATATGATCTTGGAAGGGGACTTTAATACTCTACTGACATCACTAGATAAATCCTCTAGACAAAAAAATCAACAAAGAACCAGAAATCCTAAATGACTCACTAGATCAGATGGACTTAATTTACAGCTTCAGAACATTCCACCCCAAAGCTATAGAATATACATTCTTCTTAAGTGCACATGAGATGTTTTCAAAGGTATATGACATATTGGGTCACCAGCAAAGTGTCTCCAAATTCAAGAACATTGAGAGCATATCAAGCATCTTTTCAGACCACAATAGCATAATATTAGAAATCAACTATAATAAAAATTCAAACATTTGGAAGCTGAATAGCATGCTATTAAACAACTAGAGGCCTGTTGCACGAAATTCATGCACAGGGTGTGTGTCCCTCAGCCCAGCCTGCACCCTCTCCAATCTGGGACCCCTCGAGAGATGTACAATTGCCCATTTAGGCCCGATCCCAATATCCTTCTCACAATCCAGGACTGCTGGCTCCCAACTGTTCACCTGCCTTCCTTCCTTGATTGCCCTAATAACTTCTACCAGCCTGATCACGTGTGTGTTGGAATAACAGTCAATTTGCATATTACTCTTTATTATATAGGATTAGATACAAAAGTTACCAAATAGTTTCATTTTCAAAGAAAACCATAACTAATTGGATTATTGTCATTTTCTAACTATGCATATAATGACATGCAAGTATTTTATTTTTTTCCTAATTTTTCCAATTTTTTTGAGCTACTAAGGGTCTGGTGCATGAAATTCATGCACTAGGAGTGGGTAAGTGTCCTTTAGCCCACACTGCATCCTCTCCAATCTGGGAACCCTCACGGGATGTCTGACTGCCGGTTTAGGCCTGATATCACAATCCAGGACTGTTAGCTCCCAACCACTCGCCTGCCTACATGTCTACCTGCCTGCCTGCCTGCCTGATCACCCCCTAACCACTCCCCTGCCTGCACAGTTGCCCCTAACTGCCCTCCCCTACTAGCCTATTTGCTCCCAACTGCCTTCCCTTGCAGGCCTGGTCCCCCCCAATGGCTCTCACTGCTGGCCTGATTGCCTACAACTATTCCCTGCTGGCCATCTTATGGTGGTCATCTTTGACCACATGGGGGTAGCCATCTTTGACCAAATGGGGCGGGCATCTTGTGCAAAGGTGTGAGGGTCAATTTGCATATCACCTCTTTATTATATAGATGATTGGGTTACCAAAAAGATCAAAGAAGACATTAAAAACATCATGGAAATGAATGAAAATGAGAGCACAACAATCCAAAATTTTTGGGAGACAGTTAAAGCAGCCCTGAGAGGGAAGTTCATAGCATTATAGGCCTACTGAAAAAAGAAAAAGAAAAAAAACACACCCCCCCAAAAAATGGTAATAAATTATCTAACTCTACAATTTAAAGAATTAGAAAGACAATAACAAGAAAATTCCAGAGCTGAAACCAGTTTGGCTCAATGGATAGAGCTTCGGCCTGCAGACTGAAAAGTCCCAGGATAAGTGCTGGCGAGGATGTGGAGAAAAAAGAACCCTTGTAAACTGCTGGTGGGAATGTAGACTGGTGCAGCCTCTGTGGATAATAGTATGGAGTTTCCTCAAAAACAAAAAATGGAACTTAAAATTTGACCTAGTAATCCCACTTCTAGGAATATATCCCAAGAAAACAGAAACACCAATCAGAAAGGATATATGTTCATAGCAACACAATTTACAATAGCTAAGGTTTGGAAACAGCCTAAGTGTCCATCAGCAGATGAGTGTATTAAAAATATGTGATACATCTATTCAATGGAATACTACATTGCTATAAAAAATAAAGAACTCTTATCATTTGCAACAGCATGGATGGACATGGAGAGCATTATGCTAAGTGAAATAAGCCAGTCAGAGAAATATAAATATCACATGATCTTCATTTGTGGAATATAATGAACAGCATAAACTGATGAACAAAAATAGAATGAAAGTTATAGAAGCATCGTACAGACTGTCCAACCTATGATGGAAGGTCAGGGGTGAGGAGGTAAGAGATCAACCAAAGGACTTGTATTCATGCATATGAGTATAACCTGTGGACACAGAGTAGGGGAGGAGGGATGAGGTCCTGTGCTGGGGGAGTAGGGGTGGCTAGGGAGTGGTCAATGGGGGGAAAAGGAGACTTATGTAATACTTTAAACTATAAAGAATTTAAATTTTTAAAAAGCTGTTTTTTCCAGTACTTTAAGAGCACCCATTTGAATCCCAACAATTAATGTGCTGATTACAGATGAGTCATCTATTCATTAAAACAGGCCTGTTAGGCCTTCTGCTTTGTAATAATATTTCCTTGGTGAACAATAAAATTGCATTTTAAAGTCTTTAATTCAGACTAACTTTTCCTCTTGTTAGTCCATATTAAATTAAAACAAACTCTCTTAGAGTATAAAAGTTTTCCAATGGTAAGAGGTTGCCTTGTTTTTTAATAACCAGCTTATTTGATTATTTGATTTCTGGCAATTCATAGTCTCTCTTTTTCTGTTATTTTCTTTGAATTACCAAGTTTTCTGTTTTCTGTTCTCTGCATGAGGTTTAAGAGGGTTAGAGCATGGGACTGCAGGGGTTGCTAGAATTCTGCAGTTTGAAAGGTCGGTATTAATACCAGCCAGGATGATTCTAACACAGAGACCAGCAAATTATGGCCTATAACTCATTTTGGGACTGCTGCCTGTTTTTGTATGGCAAAGTTGTTTTTAACACTGTTTAATGGTTGGAAAAAGAAAACAAAAGGAGCATATTTCATGACTCATGAAAATTGTGTGAAATTCAGATTTCAGTGTCCATAAAAAGTTTTATTAAAACACTAGAGGCCCGGTGCATGGAAATCGTTCATGGGTAGGATCCCTAGATCTGGCCATGATCAGGGCTGATGGGGGCCTCCAGGGCCTCCCTTCCCTGGCTGCAGCCTTCCTTTGTTCCACGCTGCCCCCTGGTGGTCAGCATGTGTCATAGTGAGCAGTTGAACTCCGGGTCTCCTGATTGAACTCCTGAGGGGACACTTTGCATATTAGCCTTTTATATATAGAGATGGCCATACTCATTCATTTATGTATTTTCTGTGGCTACTTTCTTGTGACACTGGCAGAGTTGTATAGTTGGGACAATCATCATAAGATCCACAAAGCCTCAAGTATTATCTGTCATTAAAGATAGTTTGCTGCCCCTGTTTTAATGCATGTTAAGTATTGAGAATCAGACATGGATTGAGTGGAGTTACTCTTATTAGGTCATTGTATATTTATAATTTTAACAATATTTTACACTTAGATATGAGGCAGAAAGGGACTTTAGCGGCCCAGTTTTTACCTGAGTGTTTTCCTTGATTTACCTCACCAAAAAGTCACTCAGCCTATCCATATGCACCTTCAGTCATGTGGCACTCACAGTCCCACAAAGCAATCTATTCATATTTGGGTAGTTTTTACTGTTGGGAAGTTTGACTTTATTTGTGATATCATAGATAAGGAGATATTTGTCTTCCTTAATGTCACCCTGAACTGGGAAAAATTGTTATCTTTCTACATACACCTATACCTACGGTGACCCAAGTCATGTGATGATTAATTTCTCACAGCCATCTAAGAAATAATCAAATATCACTGTTGTAACCCTGTCAACTCCCTCCTCCCAGGCATACACACACACACACACATGCACGCACACACACACACACACACACACGTCAGGGTCTCAAAGCATTTTAGGAGGTCTTTTTTCACATCTAAGTCAAGTCTTGTTTTCTAAATAAAAAGTCTATTATTTATTTATTTATTTATTTATTTATTTATTTTTTGGTTTAAGAATACTGAATTAGGAATTGGACTAATGTAGACTCTTTTATTTGTTGTTTTTAATACCATGGGAAGTTATTTCTCCGTACCTGACTGCAGATCACTAAGAGCACTTGCTACTTTGCCCGTTCACATCTTTTCAGAATAGAAAGTAGAGCCATCCAAATGGTCTGTGATAGACACACCATAAGAGAAAGATTTGTCTCTACTCTTGACTCTTTACTTTTTTCCTTTGAAATGTTTCTAAGGACTGTGCCCTGGAATGGCCTCCAAGATACGCTGGACGTGTCCTCTTTCTTTTCAGCATTTATAGCCAGGGGAAAACATGTCTGAACAGGAGCCCAAAGCATTTTAAAGGTGGTATGGGTGTTGACTGCTGTGAGCTCAGGAGTTTTTGGCTGTGTTTGGTGGTGACTTCCTTCTTCTAGGTCAACCTCTTCCTGTGCTCTTCCAATTCTATTTCACGTATCTTCCTGGCTCTTTAGCACCAGAATGGGAACAGAGTCCAAAGGACAGGTCTAATTTCCAAAATTGTTGTATTTTGTTTATTCCCCTGGGGAACAAGACCCACCCCTTTCCATCAGAATGCCAAAGAAGTTAGTGATCCCACAGAGTTAAATACTTCCTCTTCCACCTTAATAAATCTCCTGGGTTATCCTTAATGAAGCTTCCTCTTCCTACTCCTCAGAGCTGGACAGACTTGTCAAGCATAGTCCATATTTCATACTTCCCTTTGCCCATCTTACTTTTGTTCCCACCTCTGTTCACTAAACTGAAATTACTGCTGATGCTAAAACCTGCCCCCACTCCTCACCCCATGAATGCCTTCTCAGTCAAGTTGAATGGTTTTGGCTTTGATTAGCTCCAGTGGTCTCTGTGAGGATATAATTCTGTAGATTTTGCCACGTTCCTAGATTACACCCACATTGGTTCCTTTCTTTACTCTTTTTGGAGGCTAGCTCTGGAAGGTGACTGACCTTGATTCTAGTCTTTGGCAACTTAAATCCATTCCTGTGTCAGGTTGACACATAACTTCTGCATCTATTCTGTGCTTGGGGGTCGGTCTTAAAGGTATGAATTTATCCAGCCTGTTTTTATGAAGGCAGGCTGGCTTGTCAAATAAGGTCAGGCACATTCTTGGTGGGCTCAGATCTCTGTTGGTTTATTTCTAAAAGAATATAAATAGGATCTATGTTATTCTCTTGTATTTGGTGCCCTTTAAGAGGTCCTGCCCTGGCATGTGCTGAGAGAGCAGCATTGCAGAAACATTCTGGACTTGTTTTTGCCTGAGTAGCTGGCTGAGAGCTTTTTGTCCATGGTGGGCCTTTGTCCTGTCCCATACCATTTTCCCCTCTTTCATGAAATGACCCCATCTTCAACTGTGTCTTTCCTCCTCTAGCTCAAAGATAAGATTCCCCTGGCGGACTTCTGGTTGACTGAAGGTAAAAGTAGGGTAGGACACCCTGAGTTAGAGTTGGCCTGGCTTAGCTTGCCTTGAAGTGCCAGCCACCCATGGGAAGGGGCAGAGTACTTTCTTGGGAAATATGGCGTCTCCCTCCTAACTCCCAACTTCTCTTTGGACAGGCTGGACATCAACACTAACACATATACATCCCAAGACCTCAAGAGTGCACTGGAAAAATTCAAGGAAGGGGCAGAGATGGAGAGTTCAAAGGAAGACAAGGTATGTGACATTCTCCAGGGAGTTAGTATAAGTCTGCAGGATGGCCTTGAAGGGAATCACTTTTTCCCATTTGCAGTAATACATGGGATGATAATAATAATATTATAAAATAATTTAAACAGAAGCTAATGCCAATATAACCCTTTATAGACTATCGAAAAAATGCTGGGGGCATTTCTGTCATCAGTTATGTTAGGATCCAACTTCCAATTACATGTTTGGGGAAATTGAGGTACAAAGCAGAGATAGCCATACTTTTCATTATCACAGTCATGAGTGAAAAGAGTAGAAATTAAAATTCATATATCACTTGCAGTTGGATTACTACAAGTTTAAAGGACAGAGGCCAGGAAGGAAGAAGCCTGTGTGTTTGTCCTTATCCTTTGAACACGTAGCAAATATATTTCCTTTCCCAGGCTTCAAGGTTTCTTAAATATTATACAACATAGGGCTTGAATAAGAAGATGGCTGAGGTGTCCACCAGGTCTCAACTCTAAACTACAAGCTAAGGGAATGAGAAGGAACAAGAGGCAGAATTGCAGCTCCTTGCTAGGCCCCTAATATCTGGGAGGCCTTTTAGGTACAGACCTATACCAGAAAGAAATTTTACTCTAGATGGATCTCATGAGCTCATGTAACAGCCAGAAAATGTCACAAATCATTTTTTACATTTCTAGTTGAGTCCTGTCTTTGAAAGAATTTCCTTAGATCACTGCCTTGGAGACATCTTTGTTTCCCCTCTCTCTTCTTCTCTTTTGCTTTGTCTCCCTCTCTGCTTTGCCTGTGCTCACCTCAGAATCCTGGCAGTATTTTAGAGGGGCAGCATAGGGTTCTTGACAGCTTGTATGTTAGTGGAGAAAGCCTTAAGTCTCTCATATACTTTAGAGCTAAATATTTGAGATAAATAAACACCCCCCCCCTTTTTTTTTTTTTAATGTGAGGGAGGACTTAATTAGGATGTGTTGTTATGCAGGCCATGTCTACATGTCTTTACTTATCTTACCAATAACATTTCCCAGCATAGAGAGTGTATATGTGACAAAGTAGCAGCAGCAATGGGTGAAGAAAGAGGATGCCTAAAAATCCATCCTACCACAGATGTATTAACTGAAGGGGTGAGGAAAAGAAAATCCTCTACCTGGTGAAGATAAGGCTAACAGAGAAGAGCAGTGCATGCCTAGGTTCATGGAACAGAGAGATAAGTGTCCTGTGGCCAGGGTTTGGGATTATTCTGATTTATTATCCATGTGGGGCTGATGGGAACATAAAAGCCAGCCTTTCTTCATGTCTTCTGTATTGATGGAAGATCCACTGTACCTCTGTCTCTTTTCTTAGTTCTCTTTAATGACATTCTTCTTCCATAAATAAGTTAGTGTAGAAAAGTATGAAAATTATGAAAATATTTTTAAATGTGAAAATAAGTGATTACATTTTCAGGTGTTTTTTGTTGTTGTTTGTTTGTTTGCAATTAAAATAACCCTCTCTTTTTGTAAGGAGAGATCCCAATACCAGTACCCAAATGCACGATCCCAATCCTGTATTTCTGATTTGAGTCAATTGCTACTTCTGAAATAGGGCTGCCATCACACACTTTCTTTACTTCTGTGGAGCTCAGGTTGTTAGCTCCTTCATTGAGGTGCTGAGTCTGGGTGTTTCTCCCGCTTTCAATTTGAGCCTGTTTGGACGGATTCTGCTCATTGCCAGTGCACTGGGAGTGGCAAATAAATGGACTTTATTGGAGAGTTTCTTACATGTCTTAAACTTCTGACTGCAGAAGCCATCATACTTTTTGTTTATCATTATTTACTTGTCTTGGGTTGGTGAACACACAGTACAATCCTAATATATAAAAAGCCAGGGGTGCCAAACCAGTTTGGCTCAGTCGATAGAGTGTCAGCCTGCGGAGTGAAGGGTCCCGAGTTTGATTCTGGTCAAGGGTATGTACCTTGGTTGCAGGCACATCCCCAGTGGGGGGTGTGCTGGAGGCAGCTGATTAATGTTTCTCTCTCATCGATGTTTCTGGCTCTCTATCCCTCTCCCTTCCTCTCTGTAAAGAAGTCAATAAAATATATATTTTAAAAAATAAATAAAAAGCCAGGGGCCGTCACAACTGAACAAGTGAAATAAAACAGATGGATGACTGAATAGCAGGCTGCCTGGGGTGACCAGGCTGGCAGGGGGGTTAATGAGGGACAACTAAATGACTGAACAACAGGCTGTGTGGGGTGACCAGGCTGGCAGGAGGGGCAATTGGGGGTGACCAGGCCGGTGGAGGGGGGGGGCAGTTGGGGATGACCAGGCCAGCCGGGGGGCAGAGGGTGGTGCAGTAAAGGGCAATCAGGCTGGCAGGCAGCGGCAGTTAGGGGCAATCAGGCAGGCAGGAAGGTGAGCAGTTAGGAGCCAGTAGTCCCAGATTGTGAGAAAGATGCCCGACTGATGGTTTAGGCCCAATCTCTGGGATGGGGTCTAAACTGGCAGTTGGACATCCCCCAAGGGGTCCCAGATTGGAGATGGTGCAGGCTGAGCTGAGGGTATCCCTCCTTCTAATCTATATATATAAAACCCTAATCTGCAAATAGACTGAACAACTGAACAACTCAACAACCAGTTGCTATGATGTGTGCTAAGCACCAGGGGGGCGCATGCAGAATGTGTGGGGTGGCATCTGCAGCAGGTGGCAGAGCGCAGAACATGGTGGGTATCAGCTGCAGTGGGATGGTGGAGCAGGTGAGCAGGGGCACCAGACCAAGGCAGGGTGCTGGTTGCTGTCATAGGGGCAAGCCTCTGGTGGTTACTGAAAATTCTTTGCCCCTGTGTGCCACAGACTTCTCCTAGCTGAGGTAATGCCAGTGGAGGGTGGGGGTGAATGGGGAGTCTATACTTTCACCCTTTATCTGGTGGCATTGAGGCAGTGTGATGCAGTATTGTGCTCCCACTCTGAGGCAATGTCAGTGGGAGTAACTGAGGAGGCCAACTTTCCACCCCTAGACCAGTAGCAATGAGGCAAGCTTCAATCCCCCTTAGGGTGCTGTCAGTAGAGGCTAAGGAAGGAATTCTATTCCCAATGTCCAGTGCCCAGTGGTGGCAGATGATGTATTTTTCCCCCCTAACTAGAGAGTGTGGGGAGAAGGGAGCTAGAGAAAGGAATTTTTCAAATGAAGTCTTGGGTATGCTTTTTAGTGATTTACATGAGGAACTGACCAGAGTTAGCACAGCAAAAGATTTAAGAACTGAACTGTAGTTTGGAATACTGCCCAGGTGTTTAGATTAGCTTTTGATTAGCACACAAAAAAAGCAGACCAAAATAACACTGCAAAGGCTCTGAAAACTTAATTGTTTTGTAGTCATAGTTATACAAGAAGGCCAGAACCAGCATATTAAACTGTGACTGCCTACTGAAAAGGAAGATTCGGAGTCTTAAGACCAGAGTGTCCAGGATACAATAAAAAAATCACTCATCATACCAATAATCAGGAAAATCAAAACATATTTTAGGAATTACCAGTAGTGATATGACTCAGAAATTAGAATTATCTGACAAGGATTTTAAAGCAGCTATAATAAAAAAAAAGCAATATGAACACTCTTGAAACAAATGATAACCTCAGCAAAGAAATAAAAGATATAAATAAGAACTAAATGGAATTTTAGAACTGAAAAATACAGCAATTTAAAAAAAAATTAATGGGTAGGCTTAATACAAAATAGAGATGAGAGAGAAAAACATCAGTGGACCTAAAGACCGATAAAAATTTCTTAATCTAAAGAAGAAAAAAAAATAGATAGGAAAAGTGTACAGAGATTTTAGGAAACTATAGGACTACAGGCATACCTCTTTTTAATGAGCGTTGAAGATATTGTGTTTTCCCTCCACCAGTAAAAGATTACAACTAGCTGAAGGCTCAGATGATGTTTAGCATTTTTAGCAGTAAAATTTTTTTTTACATTAAGGTATGTACATCGTAGTTTTTTTTAATTTAAAAATTTTTTTTAGATATAATGCTATTGCATACTTAATAGGCTACAGTATGATATAAACATAACTTTTATATGCATTGGGAAGCCAGAAAATTTGTGTGACTCATTTTATTGAGATATTTGCTTTATTGTATGACCTGAATCTGCAATATCTCCGTGGTATGCCTGTGTAACAAAAGATCTAACATTTGTGTCACTGGCGTTTTAGAAGGAAAGAAAGAAGAATATGGGACTAAAAAAATAATCAAAGAAATGAAGATGGAAACGTTCCCAGAGATGATGAAATGCATAAACCCATGGATTCATGAAACTGAATAATATAATAGCCAAAAACCCTGGAATAACTCAAATTTTCTTCAATAGCTGAATGTTTGAGAACAAATATCTATACAGTGGAATACTACTCAGCATTAAAAAGAAATGAACCATTGATATATGCAGTAATGTGGATACATCTCAAATTCATTATGTTCACTAAAAAAGCACTAAAAAAATGGTTATTTGTAATTCCATATATATAACATTCTCCAAATGCCAGAATTATAGAGATGGAGAGCAAATCAGTGAAAAGGGAGTTGTTGGGAGGATGAGGTACACTTATAAAGGAGCACAACAGCCCTGGTGGGTTTGGCTCAGTGGATAGAGCCTTGGCCCACAGACTGAAGGGTCCGGGTTTGATTCTGGTCAGGGCATGTACAGGCTTATGTTGCAGGTTCAATTCCCAGCCTCTGTTGGGAGCGTGTGGGAGGCAACCAATTGATGTGTCCTCATATCAACGTTTCTATCTCCCTCTCCCTTCCATTTACTCTAAAAATCAATGGGAAAATATCTTCTGGTGAGGATTAAAAAAAAATAATAAAGGGACATAATGGAGGTGGAGATGGACAGTTCTGTAGCTTCATTGTTCTGGTGGTCACATTAATCTATATATTGAACAAAATTGTTTAGAATAATACGGACACATACATGCAAATGTGAACATTTAAAATTTTGCCGGTGAAATCTGAATAAGACTTGTAGTCTTATTAACAGTATTGTACCTAAGTCATTTTCTTGGTTTGGATGTTGTGCTATTATAATGTATGATGTTACCATTGGGGGAAGCTGAAAGGATGGCACGGTCTGTACTATTTTTGTAATTTACTGTAAGTATTTAATTATTGCAAAATAAACAGCTTTTTTTCCTTCAAAAAAAAAAAAAGCTTTCAGAGGTCCACTTAAACATAATTTTTGTGAGGCTGAAGTTACTAGTTTCTTATTCTGCTCACTTGCTTGTCATCCTACAGTTCTTTGTCTGGCAGAGTTCTCTGGCAGGGTATAGGGAGAACATCTCTCTGCTATAAGCAGAATATGGCATCCTATAGATGTGATTACTCTGCTAGGAGCTTGGTCTTTTAAAAGAGAGGCTGATTCATTCCTTTGGTTGGTGTTTCTATAGAGTGCTTATAACTGGAGAAAAACCCAAAGGTAATAAATAGATGAGCAATTTGGAACTGACAGCTGCTCATCATTCTGCTTTTTATAAATATTCGTGCCTTTTAATTTTTCTCAAAAGATTGAGACACAAACCACTGTGACATTTCAGACTCATTAAAAGCACTATCCTCTAAAATTGAAAGAAAACAAGGAGTGTCACAGGTATAAAATATCTAATTAAAATCTTTTATTCTCCTCCAACATCACCTCATTTTTAAAACCTTTGTATGAGTGTGGGGTAAGGAGAGATTGAGAGAAAACTGTTTGAGATTTGAGTATAGTACATACAGTAATTTAGCCACTTCAAACAGTTGAACAAATTGTATACCTGTAGTTAGATTGACAGTAATGACAGTGATTTAACTTTTATCAGCAAATTGCTCCCACTTTGATATCTCTTTACCCATAGTTTTCTACATCTGGGTTTCCCTATAATGTTCCTGGATTGGGCAGGACAAAGCCAAGATATTCTATGATTGTAGAATATAGAGAACTAAGGTGTAGATTATTCCACTTTGACCTCAGCATTTCCTTATTAAGGATTGAAAGTGAGCTTGCATTGCTTTCCCTGATCTCAGTGATTACAACAAGACTTTTCCGTCTTCCTGAACATTGGAAGTCAGATTGGGTAAGAGAACCTTGGCAAACCTTGGGTGTTTACTGGGGCAGAGGGCACATGAGTAGACTCTGAAATCATCTTAGAAGATATTTCGTTCATAGTATACATGAACGAAAATTTTGAGTGTTGAAAAAGCAGTTCTTTAAGGAGGAGCATCCATGGTAGACCACAGGAGTCTTGGAAAAATATCTCCAATTGATTTAATTAATCATCTCTTTGCTTCCTAGGCAAGGCAGGCTGAGGTTAAACGTCTCTTCCGCCCTATTGAGGAGCTAAAAAGGGACTTTGCGGAGCTGAATGTTGTCATTGAGACTGACATGCAGATCATGGTACGGCTAATCAACAAATTCAATAGTTCCAGCTCCAGCCTGGAAGAGAAGATTGCTGCACTCTTTGATCTTGAATATTATGTCCACCAGGTATTGTCTTTCATTGTCCATAAGTCTGATTTTTAACTCACAACTTTTCTTCCCACCCTCTCATCTCTGGTCCTAAGCTCTTGGAAAATACATCAGCATCTATACTTCTCTCCCAGCATGCACAATATTTTTAATCTAGGCCAATATTTATTTTCTTAAGATACATTCCTTTTTTTTAATCACCACCCAAGGATATGTTTTTATTGATTTTAGAGAGGAAAGGGAGAGAGAAAATAAAGGAAACATCAATGTGAGTAAGAAATATTTATTGGTGTTTTTTTTTTCAGACCTGTCCTAATGGGTTAGAACCTGTAAATTATGTGCCCTGACCAGAAATGGAACTTGGTGCACAGGACAACTCTCCCAAGCAATGAGCCACCTGGCCAGGGCAAGATGCATTCTCTCAGGCCAGAGTCAACCACTTTTTCATTTGGAGGATTACGTCCTTTAATTTTCAACACTGAGGATACAGCAGAAGTAAAATAGATGTGGTCCCTATTCCACAATTACAGTTTTGTAAGAGAGAATCTATATATTAAAATAAATAAAAGGCTAAGCAACCATTACAACTGGCTGACCAAATGACCAGTTGACCAGTCCTTATGACGTGCACTGGCTACCAGGGGGCAAGGGCTCAATGCAATAGCTGCCCTCTGGTGGTCAGTGCACACTCCCACAGCCAACCTCCTGTGGCCTGCCAACCTCTGTGGTCCCTTTCTCCAGCCAGCCAGCCCTGAGTTGGGCTGGCCAAGATGCCCCGATTGGCCCCCATTGCTGGCCAGAATGAGGGACCCCATCTGTGAACGAATTCATGCACTGGGCCTCTAGTAATTAAATAAATAATTCAACAATGATCTAATTAACAACTTAATGATGAGAGAATTAAAAATTGTGTTGAGGGCTCCGTAGGGTAATGTAGGAGTATATGATGGGAATTTAGCCTAGTTAGGGGCATTGGGAAGGCTTACCTGAGTATGTGACATTTAAACTGAGCATAAAGGATGAATAGGAGTTGGCTAGGCAAAAAGAGGAGATTAAAGCAGTGGATGGTAAACTATGGTCCAAATCTGCCTCACTGCCAGCTTTTATAAGTAAAGTTTTCTTGGAACACTGTCACACCTATTTGTTTATGTATTGTTTTATTGTTTTGGGCTGTATCTAAGCTACAAGGCCAGAGTTGAGGAGTTGAGACAGAAACCATATGGCTCAGAAAAGTCAACAATATTTATTATCAGGCCTTTTAGAAAAAGTTTGCCAACTCTTGGATTAGGCCATTCTAGGCAGAGGAAACATCGTGTGCAAAGATTCTGAGTTAGAGAAGAGCTTGGTGAAATTGAGGACCTGGAAAAGATTAGAGCATAGTGACCAGGGGATGGGGTAGCAGAGATAAAAAGTAGAAAGGTTAGGGAGTCAGAGGCCTGGAGTTGGGAATACCATGCTCTTTATGATTATATCCTCGATCCTAAGAAGCATTGGAGAATTTGAAGCAGGGAAATGACTGATCAGACTTATGTCATAATAGTTAAAATATATGGAGCATTATCATATAATTGGCTCACATTCAAGTGCTTTGTACACATTAACTTATTGGTTTCTACAGCTGCTTTATGAGTAGGCACTGCACTGATATTAATTCCATTTTATAACTGAGGCAAATGAGGTCACATTTGTGATTGCCCAAGGTCACCCATTTAGTGATTGGTAGAGCTGGGATTTGTAACAAAGCCTGACTGACCCCAAACTCTGTGTGCTTAACTTGTAGGCCACTCTGCCTCTTACAGGATACTGGTACCATCTGAATAAAGCCTGAGTCTAAGGAACCAAGAGAAGCAATTTATTTATTCAATAAATTAATATGTTGGGTCCCATTTAAGTCCCAGACACTTTCCAGGCACTTAGGATATATCTTTTACCTCCTAGCAGAAACAGATAGACAATAAACATAACTAATAAGTAAATTATATACAATATGTTTAAAGGTGATAAATATTATGGAAAAATAAAAAGAGCAGGGAAGAAAAGGAGCCTCTTGGACAAGAGAAACAGGAAATACTCTTATTCCTAAAGTGGGAGCATATCTAATGTATTTGAGGAACCATAAGGAAGTCAGTGTGGCTGGAGCTGAGAGAAGAGGGAGAGAGGTAGATGAAACTCAGAAACTCAGAAAGATGATGGGAGGAAGATCATGGAGCTCCTTGTAGGTCATGGAAAATAATGAAATTGGACGTTATAAGAGGATGATATGCTCTGACTTTTAAAGGATCCCTCTGGCTGCTGTATTGAGAATTAGAAAAGAGGCAGGGGTGGGATGGTCAAGGGTAGAAGCAGAGAAATCAGATAGGAGGCTGTTGCAGTAATCCAGACTATGGGGAATGTTCCCCCAGGAATGCTGTGTAATCATAATCAAAGGCTTTTTGAGATCCCCACCAAGACATAGATCTTCACTATCCTCCCACACATGACAGCATCCTTGTTCTCTATTATAAACTAGGCTAAAAACATTCTCTCTTTAGGATTTGTCAGCCTTTGTGGTGAGAGAGAATAAGTGTATACTGTATCTGCAGGAATTATGGGAGGGCCACTTCATCTTCTTTCTCTGCTCACAACTCTTTCTCAGTCTGCAAATAGCAGGTCTGTGATCTCCTTAGAGAAAAAGAAAATGGATCTGGGTTCTCTTTTCTTTTTCCAGTCTTTCTCTCCAGGGTAAAAAAAAACAAACATTCTAATAGCATTTCTATTATAGATATTTAAAGGACTGAGGTTCCTAGGGGTTATTGGCTAAGTCATTCCTGCTTTGATGTTTACAGCTTTATTTTTTCTCATCTTAACATACTTGGATTGATCTTCAGTTACCAGGTTTCTGTAAGCTCTTCCTTTAGTTGCGGCGTAAAAAGCCAAAATGACTAGAAAGCTTATCATAGCAGAGGGGAGTGAGTACACAAGAGGGCCCTGACAGATTTCTTTTTTCCAAAAGCCAGGTGATAGCCTATTCTGCTTTCATAGTGCACTAGAGTAAACAGTTAGACATTGTCCACCTTAGCCTGAGGTTAGCCTGGTAATCAACCAGTCCCCTGTTAGAGGCCAAACTTGAGCTGTTGACAGAAGAGTCATAAATGTTTTCGGTCATTAGCCTTTTAATTGGAAATATAAGGTCCTTGGTTTGGGATGGTATGTCAGGTTTCCATGCAGCAGTGTTAGGTTGTGATTAAAGAAGACACAGCTAGCCTCAAGTTCCAGTTGCAGTGGGAAATTGGGGTGATGTAGCACTAGCTTTGAGGAACATAGGATGTTTCTTGCCAGGAACTTCACCAGTCTACTCCTATTCTAGATTCACTGATTGGTGGTTTTGAGAGCCATGGGTTTCAAGGACCCAAAATGGATCTGCCCAAGTATTCCTCATAGCCATGTTTGAATTATTAAACAGGATTTTTGAAAAGCAAAACTAGGATGTGGAAAACAGTTTGTGAGTTATTTATGAGGAGCAGCTTCTGGCTGCTCATCCACTTCTCTCACATCACAACTCCTCAGTGATTTACCACCATTTCTTCCTTTCTCGGTTTCCTTTTCTCTCATTGTCTTATCAGTGTTGTGGTTCTCTTTTTTCCTCCTGAGTGTTGACATAGCTCTCTTCTACCCCCATCTTTAGCACTCCTTTCTTCTATCTTAACTTCCTTTCCACCTGTCCCACCTTATTCTGAAGACATCCTTGGAGAAGTTCTGCCTCCAGACCCAGATTTTGAAGCTTGATCTTCTGGGCATGCAGTGGGCAAAATGACTCCTTTCTTTCTCATCTCTAGTGAAATAACAAATGAGAAAAACATCTTGAGAAAACTGAAGTGCTTATATAAATGTCAGTATATATAATACCCCGAAATATCTTTGTAGTAATAAAGATAGTCTAGAACAGAGCCTTTGTGACTCTGGGCTCTGTGTTTTGGGGCTTTCATAGTGGCAGCTGTTTTTGTAGGAACTCATGCAAGCTTTGATATGTAGCCATCCTAGGCACAGAATGACAGGACTCTGAGCCATGGTTTTGTATGCAAAAGACCTGGAGGAAAGAGGATCAGAGGAGAGGTGATGAATTCTTGGATTTTAAAAACAGAGTAGGTGAGGAAGGCTCAGTAAGTATTATTTATGCCTACGTTAGTAAAGCATCCGCTTCAGAGTCTCCCTAGTTAGCTCTGCTATAACCCAATAATCATCCCTCTTTATAAGGACAGATTAGGGCAGAAAAATCCCAGCCCTGTTTTGGGGTCTTAATGGCAGAGCCAACTCCATACTTACTTCATGTCCCTGGTTAGGCTATTTGTTCAGTCTGTGATATATGGGACCTATCCATTTTGTTGGCACAGATGCTCCAGATTGCCTTTTCTTTTTTAACTTACAGTGGAGTTTATTGCAGTAACATATTTTTCTGACCAAATGCATCCACTGGCTTAATGTTTATTTACTGAGCACCTAACTATATGCTTAGTGCTATTCTAGTCACTAGACCTACAATAGTGGGCAAATAAAAACCTCTGCTCTTGTGGAGTTTATATGAATGTATAAGAATGATCTTCTAAATGGTAAAAACAGGCTAGGCCCACCCCAAAGTAAGCAAAACATAGTTCTTTAAACTTGATTTCTCTGTTAGAGCTCTCTTCCAGTTTGGAAGTACACAGGTAGGACAGGGCTCTGTGGCATCTGGAGGAAAAGGGTGGGTAGCAGTCACGTTGTTGGGCTCTACCTTCCTGGGTTTTCCTGATGGTTTATAGAGTGGGATCAGCATGTGGGCAAGAGGCAGCTTTTGTAGCAACAAAGATGTTTTCAAGGGATACTTGAAGCCACTCCATGAGGAAACTGGCATCCAGTTACCTTTCTGATGAAGCTCTTCTTGTTCCAGGATTTTTTATTTGTATTTATGTCAGAGAGGAAGGGAGAGGGAGAGAGAGAGAGAGAAACATAAATGAGAGAGAATCATTGATTGGCTGTCTCCTGCATGCCCCCTACTGGCGATTGAGCCCACAGCGTGGTCATGCATCCTTGACTGGAATCAAACCCAGAACCTGTCGGTCCTCAGGCTGATGCTCTAACCACTGCGCTAAATCCAGCTAGGGTTTTTCCAGGATTCTAATGACTCTTGGGAAAGGAGATATCCCCTGTTTCATAGAAAAAAAGATAGATTGTCTGGACTTGAGGCTTTGGAACTTAAATGATAGCCTAGCCCGGTGCTGAATGATAGAACTTTATGTAATAATGCAAATGTTATGCACTGCCCAATAAATAGCCACTAGCCAGTATTGCAGGTCTAGACTAAAGCCTTTGAGAGTTAGGCTTTTGTGCAGCTTTTATCATGATTGTCCAGATTCAGTCAACCTTGGACTGTATGAAGTGAGGAATATGGAAGAGAAGGATACTATTGTTACTTCTTCCTATTATTCTGCCAAATCCTCCTCCCCCTGCAGTGGAGCTCCTTTTATAGTCCCTGACTTCTAATTAAAATAAACTTTTAAAAAATGTCTGTTGCTTCCACTGCCCCCCTTTGGGGTTAGACATCAATAGGAAACATGCACCATTTAGTAGTGTTGCTGATGCTGGATCTTTGTGTTAATAGCTTGTATGTTAGGAGTAAGCTTTATGACTAGAATTAATATTAGAATTTTCTAGGACATTTTTGGCCTAAGCATTTCACCAGTTTTCATACAAGTGCTCATAAATCATGTTAGTTTAATTAGTAGTTCTCAAATTTAAAATTATTTAAAAATTTAGTTTGCTTTTATAAACTCATTCCTTGTTGGAAAGGCAACCATTGCTTTTCACTTGACTTTTTAGTTTTGTTTTTGAACAGTCATTAAAAGAAAGGCTATAGGAAGAGCTCTTCTTTCCTTGGTGATGATACTGTACTAAGCAGTGCCTTTGTTGCAGATGGATAATGCACAGGACCTGCTTTCCTTCGGTGGCCTTCAAGTGGTGATCAATGGGCTGAATAGCACAGAGCCTCTGGTGAAGGAGTATGCTGCATTTGTGCTGGGGGCTGCCTTTTCCAGGTGAGTAACAAGACAGGGAAGGGTGGGGGTAAGGGGGAAAGATCAATCAAAGGACTTATATGCATGCATATAAGCATACCCAAAGGACACAGACACCAGGGGGGGTGAGGACATGAGCGGGGGTAGGGGGGGTGGGGAGGTCGGGAGGAGCAATGGAAGGATAAGAACACTTATGTAATAATTTAATCAATAAAGAAAAAAAAAATAAAGGGAGGGGGAGGGGAAGAATGGACTTCTCATCAGCCAGGATTATTTGGGCCCTTCAGGTGAATTCTAGCTTTACTCTTAGATGGAATGGGCCGGGGAAAGTTACACTTAAATTATGTACATCCCTATCCCTATTTCACTTTAATCTCAAACTAGAGTAAGGGTTTGATTCTGCTCTTATTTCAAGTAGATAAGAATTTTCACCCAGGATGTCACCATTTATGATTCTCTGTTCCCCCTCATCTTATGTATATGGACATTTAATGACATGTTTTAATATATTTTATTGATTTTTTACAGAGAGGAAGGGTGAGGGATAGAGAGTTAGAAACATCGATGAAAGGGAAACATTGATCAGTTGCCTCTTGCACACATCCTACTTGGGATGTGCCCGAAACCAAGATACATGCCCTTGACTGGAATTCAACCTGGGATCTTTCAGTCCACAGGCCAGTGCTCTATCTACTGAGCCAAACCATTTCGGGCTTAATGACATATTTTAGATCACATTCTCTGTTTTATTCAAAGCTAATAAAAAGTTATATATCAGTCATAGAGGAAGGGAGATGTACTCCCAAGAGTTGATCCTTTTGGAAGTGAAGCTACTTACATACATCTGGTAATGAATAAATTATGAACCTGACCAAGGAGGGTCTTTTGGGAAGAAAGTATCTTCTTCCGAGTTGTCTGGAACCAGTCAACATGCAATCAGGTTATCCGACCCTCCGAGTTGGGAGTTGTTTAAATTTCAATTAGTCTGGCTTGTGCTAGAAGGCTGATCTCTATACTCATGCTAAAAATATCAAGATGTCTTAATCTATAGTTTTTCTATTGGACCTATAGTTGCTTCCAGTTTTGAAAATATCCTAAGACAATTTCTTTCTCTAAAACAGAAACCAATATTCTGATTCTAGCTATAAGGGAATGGGTGGTGACTATTAGGGTTGTCTTGCTTGGATGCAGGGATTGTGATGCTGTAGGAAATGGGCTATTCTGAACATCTTGAACATTGGAGACTTTAGCATCTTTTTTAAAAAAACATTTATTTATTTATTTATTTATTTATTTATTTATTTATTTATTTATTTATAGTAAATTAAGGGGAAAAGCAGAGAAGACCAGAAAAATTGTTCCATGAGGAGAGACTGAGAGCACTGCAGGCCTTTGTTTCTCTCAACACTAACTTGCCTTGATCTTGAAGCCCTGATTTTTCTGTGGTTGAGTTTTTGGCAGTCAAGGCTATGGCCTCCAAGGGACTCCATTTTCCTTGGTCTCCCAGGATGCTTGTGCAACCACTGAAAAAGTGAAGGATTTAAGTTTGTCATTGATAGCTGTGATTTCAGCCCTGGAGAGGTCCCAGGTCTTATCCTCATAAGGCTTTGGAGTCTTGAGAACTTACTGAGGCTCACTTTTTTTTTTTTTTTTTTTTTTTTTTAAGCTATAAAAGAACTAAATCAAACATTAACATCTTTTTCCAGACCCTTTTTGGAAATCTTTTCCCTAATCCCAAGTACTTTCTTTCCACTTTCAATATAAACAAATGATTCTAGTTCTTCCTTGCCATTGCTTCTGGAAACACATTTCTTGGGGGAAGCTGTGTAATATCTTGATGTCACTTCTTAGCTGAAGGAGACTAAGTGACTTGAGAAGTATGTATTGGGCCTGGTTAGCAGGCCATAACCCACCTGGGGGCTGTGCCAATATGTGGTATTATTAAGACTTTTCTGTGATTGTATGAGGGTAAGACTGTATTAACATTTATGCATTATCACTAAAATTTAAATAGATATAAAATATTGTAGTTTATTGTTTTGGCAACAAGCATAATGCTATATTCAAAACAGTCTAGCTGGGCTTTTGATGGTTCACTGGAGGGCTGTTGCAGTGACAACATTGTATGGTACCAGAGCTTTTGGAAGTCAGCAGCAGGCTTTTGAACATCCTGAAAATTGTCAATGTTTTATGAAAGGTAAGAATATTTCTAGGCAGAGAGACAGGTTTCAGTGTTCTAGTCTGATATTCATTATTTCCTCTTAATGTCCTAAGTATTGGTTCTGTAGCTTCTTCCCTGTCCCCAGCCTACAGGTGCACACAACACTACACTATAACACACACACACACACACACAATGATTGGATGAGCTTGGTCTTTGTCAAGAGGCTATTGAAGGAATAGTGAGCACATTGGAGTCATGGAGACCCAGGACTTGGGAATTCTCGTTTTCTGCTGATGGGCAAGAATACTGCTCAATCATTCCAAACATTTGAGCAATTCAGAGGATTAGGCACATCACTTTACCTAGAATTAGAACATCTAGTTCAAGTCCAGTCTCTACATTTTCTGGATGTTTGCCTATTGGCAAGTAATTTCACCTTTCTAATCCTCACCATTTGCATTTATTAATTAGGAACAAAAATAGGTGTCCTCTGCATTTCATAAGGTTAAGTGAATATGAAATAACGTATACAGTAAGTCCTGTGAAAATGCTTATAAAGCACCTGTCAGTGATAAGGGATATATAACATCATCATGCTCATCATGTGTCCTTTTTATTTTGAGTTTTCACTATGAGGCAATTATTTCTTTTGTTTTTACAGTATAAACCTCTACTTCCTTATTTTCTCTTCTGATAAGGTGCTTAAGTTCTACCCATAGCATAACTCTTTGTGCTAATCTTATTGTTTCATGAGGGTAGGCAAATAATCTTGCTGCTTTATTTTCCTACTTGTCTTAATTGTTTAATAAGGCCTTCACACACATCTATGGATGAAGAAATAACTTCTTGGGTGTTAAATATAAAGCTGTTATTCCAAGATCAAATAGAAAGAATTAACATAAATGTAGTTGATGTGACACTGAATGTTACATGGTCACTCTTTAGGCTCCTTTCTCTTAGCCTATAAGTGTTCTCAGTAACCTCTCCACTAACCCCTGTGCCACCATTAACTTGTTAATCCAGTTGCCTCTAACCTGACAACCTGTACTTTTCTTTCTTTCCAAACTTCTTGAAAGGGTAGACAAAAGGGGATCCAAATAAGTGCACATGAGTGTTATGTTCCTGCCATCCCTGAACATTTTCAAGAGTATTTTGGAATCATCAACATCTCTGTAGCAGTCTGTAGTGTCAACCACTGCTTTCTTTTGGAAACTTTACTTCTTGGCTGCCACATGATTGTAGTCCCTTCTATATCAGTAATTAATTATTCCCTCTTCTTTTCCTTTATGGCAACACCATTTCTTACTATCTCCTAATTATAGCTATTCACCAAGATTTTTCTGGCCCTGTCTTCTTTCTCCGTTTTCTCTGCTAGTAGTCCTACCTCATTGTGGGTTGAACAATGTTTGTGTTGAAGTACAGCTCTTCTCCTCAGGTTTTATCCTCCATTTCCACCAGACTACCTAATTGCACCTCAAAGTAAGGATAAGAAAATGGAATTCATTTTTGTCTCCCTCACAAACTAGATTTTTCCTCCCAGGTTCTCTTTTTTAAAATCTATTCTTGGCAGTATGATTGTCGTAGTTACCCAAGCTTGAAACTTCTGAATGATATTTGAGTCTCCTTTCTCCTTATTTAGTTGGTGAATGAATCCTGTGGATTTTCCCCCTCTGTTATCTACTAAACAACTTTTTTAAAAATAAAAAGCTATTTTAAGGAATCTTGATATTATAAGGGAAGCAATGTGTTCAGAGAGGGGATTCCGTCTTCTGCTAAGAAATGAGCCATCAATAGTCTGAAGAAGCATAGTAATCCTATTCTTTATGGAAATAAATTGATTTAGAGATGGGCATGTGACCCAGTTCTGACCAATTTGACATAAAGAGATGTTTGCTAGGGAGGATTTTGCTCTCTTATAATAAGGTAAGGAGACCGTGCCCACTTTTCCTACCTTATTATAGTTGTCTTGGAATTACAGCAGTTTGCTTATACCACTGAGGTGAAAAACAAGGAAAAAAAGCCTCCATGCTGAGGAGTGTAATAGAGAGGAAAGACCAAAGGAGACTAGGTCCTTTATGATATATAGTTTAGCCACTATCCTGATTTTGGAACCATCTACATGTGAGAGAGAATTAAACGTGTGCTTTTAAAAAATAGTGTCATTACTTGTTATTTGCAACTGAACATAGAAGGCTAGAGATTGTGATGAGATTAGACATTTTAGATGCCAGCATTTGAATAAACATTCACATGTGATCCCTAGGACTAGTTCTGACTTCTTGACTACAGGAGCTAATTTTCACACTCCTGCCTTGGCCAGATGATTGGAGTGTCATCCCATACCCCAAGGCAGGACACATACCTAGGTTGCAGGTTTGATCCCCAGTCAAGGCACATACAGCAACAACCTATCAATGTTTCCCACATTAATGTTTCTCTCTCTCTGTCTCTCCCCGTCCTCTTTCTAAAAATAAAAACATATCCTCAGGTGAGGCTAAAAAATTATTTTTTACACTTTTTCAGTAAAAGGGGAGATGCTCAATCATTTATTTTTTAAAATATATTTTTATTGGTTTTAGGATGGGAAAGGGGGAGATAGAAACATCCTATATAATAAAAGCCTAATATTCTAAGTGTCCAACTGTTCGTTCAACCAGTTGCTATGATGTGCACTGACCAGTGGGTTAGCTTGCTGCTGGGGTCTGGCCCATCGGGACTTGGCGACATGGGCTGGATATGTCTGGAGCCCTATTGCAGTCCCTTCCAGTCCCTGATCATGCACTAGTGTGGTCCCTTGGCCTGGCCTGCACCCTTGGGGGATGTCAGCCAGTTTCAGCCCGATCCCCATGGGCTAGGC